TTTGAGAAATGAATCCTCAGAATCACCAAATTAATTTTCTCAAACAGGCCTGTGGGGAATCTTGATTAATACATAAAATTGAAGCTACTTATATACAGATGAAATTATAAAGTTAATGAGGTCTTGGATAATATCCAATTGTAATGTACAGTGTACATTACAATTTAGATGAGTAAATTCGATTTCCAGTGACACTGCCCAACAATTTTCCACCACAATCAATCTGATAAATTCGATTCCCTACAACAAACATGTAAAATAAGCTTCACTGAAGGCCAATGGTACATCCCACTGATGATAAACCTTTTACAATTAAAAGGGAGACTGTGAGAGTAGTGAATTGGCCATGTAATTCATGATACGTATTCTAGATGCATAACTATAAATGCTATTCTAGATAGATAGGTATAGATTCTAATCTAGATACATAGATATAGCTAGCATTAAAACGGGACTTCATTCCACCTGGATAATTACCTTTATCTTAGTGCTTTAATGGTATCTTCTCACCAATGCAAGAGGGTGTTTGTATTTTTTAAAGTTTTGGGTAAAAACTGAGCCCTCCTCTTCAAGTTTTTCTGAAGTGTTATGACCTGAAGTAAATTTTTTTTTTAAAGATTTATTTATTTGTGCATACAGAACTGGGGTACAGGCCAGAGGTGCAGGGGCAGTGAGAGGATTCACCAAGACAGAGCGGGGAGCAGAACAGGCAGATTGTCAAAGTACACTGCTGAGGGGAGCAGCGGGCAGGCCAGGCGAGGTCTGCCGCGCCATGTGGATCATCTTCCAGGGCAGGCGGGGATCGAACTCATGAGGAAGTGGCTTTAGTTTCTTAGTTCTGTGCTTTAACCAGCTGTGCCACCAGGGAGGGCCTGAAAATGGTTTTAACAATGTTTTTAACCATGGTATACTCAACCTCTTATGGTTTACCACTTTATGTTTCCATTGTTCTTTTCTTTTTCTTTTTAAAAAAGATTTATTTATTTATGCTTACAGAACTGGCATACAGGGCAGAGGTAGAGGAGGTGAGAGGATTCACCAGAGACAGAGTGGGGAGCAGAACAGGCAGATCGATGACGTACACTGCTGAGGGGAGCAGCAACGGAGAGGACTGCGACACCATGTGCCTCTCCTCCAGGGCGGGGATCGAACTCGCACTAAAGTGGCTGGATTAGGCTGCAGTGCTGTGTCCTAACCCTTGTGCCACCAAGAAGGGCCCTGTTCTTTCCTTTTAAAGATTTATTTATTTATGAATACAGAAGTGGGGTACAGGCCAGAAGTGCAGGGGCATTGAGAGGATTCACCAGAGACACAGCAGGGAGCAGAACAGGATGACTTATGAAGTACACTGCTGAGGGGAGCAGTGGGTAGGTCAGGAGAGGTCTGCCACGCCATGTGGGTCACCTCTGGGGTGGGTGGGGATTGAACTCATGCTGAAGTGGCTTTAGCTTCTTAGTGCTGTGCTTTAACCCACTGCGCCACCAGGGAAGGCCCTGTTCTTTTAAGATTTACTTATTTATGCATACAAGAACTTGGGTGCAGACCGGAAGTGGGGGGTGGAATGAGAGAATTCACCAGAGACAGAGTGGGAAGCAGAACAGGCGGATGTACTAAAGTACACTGCTGAGGGGGGGCAGCGAGTGAGACAGGAGAGGTCTGCTGGGCCAAGTGGGTCAGCTCCATGGCTAGGGATCCAACTTGCTGTAGTGCTACGGAGAGCTTCATAGAGCGCCACCAGGGAGGGCCCTGCATTGTTATTTTCTTGCTAAAAAGGTGTAACTATTATGAATGATTAGCGAAGTAGCGTGCCATACTGATAAACAAGGTAAGTGAAGGTACACTGGGGGTAGTGAGTAGTTGGGAGAATCAAGTTATATATAATGGCTAAGCGTGTAAACAAGACCACTAGCTTAATTTATTGAGCCTTAAGTACCAGGCCCGTGTTACCGCTCTATAAAGTGTGTACTCTGACCCATTTAACAGACAGGAAACTGAAACCAGGAGTGCCCAAGTTCACTCAGCTAGGCAGGTGGGAGCCCAGGCTGCCGGCTCTGCTAAACAAGGATGGTCATCACAGGGCGGTTGGGAGCAAAGCACTTATTCGGAAACGTGAGGCAAAATCCTCCTGAATTTTGTTCTCGGGAAGGGCGACTGCAAAGCTGGGCGACCTCACGCGGCCGCCACCAAGCGCACCGACCGCAAGGTGGCCAGGAGCAGCGGGAAGACGGCGCGCGCCGGCACCACTAGCAGGAGTGCGCCTGCGCAACAGCCTCTTGCGTGGGGGTGGCGCGAGGGGCCGCGCATGCGCCGCACTAAGAAAAGTAATTATCCTGGTGCGAGCTGGATGTCCGGGTTGCGGGCGCTGTTGGGGGTCGGACTGCTGGTCGCGGGCTCACGCCTGCCGCGCACCAGAATCCAAGCCGCCGCCTGTCGCGCGGGACCCACCTGGTGGGGGCCGCAGCGGCTTCTCTCGGGTGGCCGCGGGGACCCAGAGGTCATGGCGAGCACCGCGGTTAAATACCTGAGGTAGGCGAAGGGGGCGCTCGGTGCACAGGCGGGGCGCTGGCTCTAAGTGAAACGTCCCCCGCCGCGGGCGGGACCTGGACCGCCGCGCCTACTGCAGTCGGAGCACCCGAGGGGCGGGAACTCAGGTTTTGGGTTTCCTCAGCCAGGAGGAGGCCCAGGCGGTGGACGAGGAGCTATTTAATGAATACCAGTTCAGCGTGGACCAACTTATGGAGCTGGCTGGGCTGAGCTGTGCCACAGCCATTGCCAAGGTCAGTGATGCAAATCTCCATGAATCACTCACTGCAAACCCCTAGGCCCGGGGAGTGGTTAGGACAGATGGCCAAGCCCAGGCTTGTTGCTCCCCAGAACCCTTGTGAATTTACTTTGATTCTGCCTTCAGGCCTATCCCCCCACGTCTATGTCCAGGAGTCCCCCTACTGTCCTGGTCATCTGTGGCCCAGGAAATAATGGAGGAGATGGCCTGGTCTGTGCTCGACACCTCAAACTCTTTGTGAGTATATGGGGAAGGACTGTGGGGCATTTGGGGGTACTATCCAAAAGATGGATTGAATTAACTCCATTCCCTTTCTTTCCTCATAGGGCTACCAACCATCTATCTATTATCCCAAAAGACCTAACAAACCACTCTTCACTGCCCTGGTGACCCAGTGTCAGAAAATGGACATCACTTTCCTTGGTGAAATGCCCCCCGAAGTAGGTATTTCAGTCCAGGTCCCTCTCCACAATGACCAGTGCTCAGGTTCTGCTCTTTCCCCAAGTTTCCAGGCTGAACTCACCTGCTTATCTTTCTAGATGATGTACTCACAGAGGGCAGGAATAGTGTTGGCACAGGCGCCTAAAGTATGTCTTCGAGGAGTGGTGTGAGCACCACCCCCTCTATCAGTTGTGCTCCCCAAGTCCCAGCAATACCATCTCTAAGTCTCCATTCTACATTTGGATCCTCTCCCCCATGCCATGTGTCCTGTTCACAGCAGTAAACACATTCATTACCTGCTCCCAGCAGAAGCTGAAAGGACAGCTTCATTTTAAACCTTTTCTGCAGAAATTTCATCTGGAGTGGAAATGAGAATTATTTTATTTTTGTTTTTAAAATTTTTTAGCACATTTTACAGATATCTGATTCCAGAATCTGTGTTCTCCTGACTATGCCACACAAGCCAGAGTTACATTTTACAGAAGACACCGTGGGGACAGCCCAAACCTGGCCCTCTGACACCCATTCTCAGGCTATGCCACCCTGCAACCTCCCCAAGAGCATGCAGGCACTGAGAAAAGAAAATGTGTCTGGATTGTTTGATCTGAATCAGTGACCATCTTATGCTTAGCTGCAGGCAACAGAATGCTGCCTAAATGGGATAAAATTATGTTTGTGCCTCTCTGAATGGTCTGTGGGTAGAAGACAGTTTTCTCGTTATCTCGTTAGGGCTTTGTGCAGTGTTGGCTGACATCCTTCCCTTTTCCCTGTTCCATCACAGCCCATGTTGATTGATGAACTCTATGACCTAGTGGTGGATGCCATCTTTGGCTTCAGCTTCAAGGGTGATGTTCGGGAGCCATTCCGCAGCATCCTGAGCGTCCTGAGTGGACTCACCGTGCCTATTGCCAGCATCGACATTCCCTCAGGTGCTGGGTCCAAGGAGGGTGGGGAGATGAGGACCCTTTTCTGTTTTGCGGTAGGCACTTAGAGTCCTCATTCTTCAAAGTTCAGACCAAGCCTGAAGTAAACTAAATTTAGGGGACAGACAGCTTAATGGCTTCCCATAGCCAGATCCATGGGGAGTAAAGTTCAGGAGTGCTCTTTACATGCTCACTCCGAGAGAACAAAGCCTAAGGGTACATGGAACTCCAAGGATGCACCTTCCTCAAGTGGGAGCCCAAGGGGCGTCCTGCTACTTTAGGACAAGAGGTAGACGGGACTCGACGTCTGCCTTTCCCACTCTTCCTGAATACCTCTCTTTTCAGGATGGGATGTGGAGAAAGGAAACCCTGGAGGTATCCAGCCAGACCTGCTCATCTCCCTGACAGCACCCAAAAAGTCTGCAACTCAGTTTACTGGCCGCTACCACTACCTGGGGGGTCGTTTCGTGCCACCTGCTCTGGAAAAGAAGTACCAGCTGAACCTGCCAGCCTACCCTGACACTGAGTGTGTCTACCGTCTGCAGTGAGGGACCGTGGGTGGGCATTCTTCCCAATAAAGCCTCGGTCCTCTCTCCCGGAGCCATGGAGTCCCAGGAACTCTTCTGGCAACGAAGACCATGGCAAGAAAAAACAACACTGGAGATGTGGGACCATCCCCGGGGAACAGAACTGGCAAGAGGGATTATTACAGCCTTTTAGGGGCAACGAAAATGACTTTCAGTTGTTGACAAGGCTCCCAAGTGTGGCGTGCTGTCCTTTACTCACAGTTCTTGCCCATCGAGGAGGCAGACAGGGATGCTGGACAAGGTTCTCCAGCTTTCTCCCGTTTAACAGTGTGGCTAGACTCAAGGGTCTCAGAAGTTCTCTTCAAAGATATAAAGCAAACGCTGAGTTGGTACTCAGGACCCTCAGTCTGGGAAGATGTCAGGACCCCACATAGGCCGGGAGCCTACGCCAGCATTTGTTCAACCACAGGACAGTGTTAGAACCTAGCAAGCTTAAATGGAATTTGGCTCATGACCTACACTTGTATGTTTTTCTAGTCTTCACAACACGTCACAGTGCTTTCACATAAGTCTACATTTTTCTTTAAAGTCCCGGAGCGGCTCCCCCGTGAAGGGATGCCTCACGGGACGGGACCTACAGGCCTGTCTCTCTGAGGCTTCAACTCCTGAAAAGGAGTGGAGCCCCACACTGTCCTGATCTTCAGTCTTTCTTCTTTTGTTTCTTCTTTTTGGTTCTCTGATCTGAGCTGGCTCTAGCTCTTTCCTCCTCCTCCTCTGGTTGCTGCCATTTCCTCTTCTTACTTTGGCCACTTAAGCCATCATGTGCTCTGCTCTCTGCACCCTCAGTCCTTCTGCCCTCGCTGTCATCTCTTCCGCTCCAGACCTCTTCTTGGTGCCACTGTCTTTTCTTCTTGCTTCTGCTTTTTCTATTACCACATTCTTTACCTTCTGCTTTCCTGGTCCCACCGTCTACAACTGCCTCCTCAGCATCCTCCTCTACGCCCAAGTCCCCCCTCTCTTCAGCATGCCGCCGCCTCTTTCTGCTGTGTGGGCCCGTGCATGCTCTGCTCTCCATGTCCTCCGACCTGACCCCACCTGCTGACCCTTCACCTCTTCTTTTGTCTGAGACCTCTATCTCTGCTCCATGGTGTGGCTTCTTCTTCCTTTTCCTGCAAAACTGCGTAGTTTGTTCTCTGCTCTTCAGTTCCCCAAGGTCCTCTATTCCTGTAGCCTCTTCCTCCTCATTCCTTACAGCTGCTCCCTCGCTTTCATCTGTGACCTTTTCTTTATGTCGTTTTTTCTTCTTCTTCCTGATGCCCTGTTCAGTATGTTCTGGGCAGTCCTCCTCTGCATTTCTTTCAGCTGCTGTAGCCTCTTCCTCCTCTTTCTGCTTCCTTTTCTTTTTCTTTTTTTTGGGGGGCTTGCTCTCAGCCTGCAGTTGAGGTGTCCCAGGGTCCTGGCCTTTGAGGCGAGCCAGGAAGGCCTGCTCCTGGGCCTCTAACCGAGCAAGCTTAGCCTTCATTGTGATTCCAAGACGAGCAGCCCTAAAATAGATGGGGCCTAAGTCAGAGGGAGGGCTGAGGGAAGGCAGGTGAGGAGGTGCTGCCTATCTTCAGGCAGTTTCACAGATAGGCACACATTAGGACCACTCGCTGGGGCAGAAAGAGTAAGTGGCACAGGCCTCAAGGGTGGGCTCTTGATGCAGAGTAACGGGAACCCGAATGGCTGACCACTACTTACTTGTGTGCTGTTCGCCCCTCACAGGCCTGGAGCAGCATCTCATCCGTCAGACTGGAGGGGAAGTGGGGGAAGAGAATGAAGACAGACATGGTGGAGAGGTGTGACCTCTAGCCCCTCTAAAACATTCCTTCAGCACCTAGTTCCTGTTCATGACCTAGCATTTTTCTAGGTACAGGGGATTCAAAGACTAGCACAAAACATTTTTACCCCCAAAGCAACCTCGCTGCTTACATAGACTCTATCCTTTCTCTTGAAATTTGGAGCATCTCCTCCTACATGCCCCCAGCATTAAAATGAAGCTCACATCTTTGGTGGCGGGGACTCCTGGTTATCATCATCACTGTTCTCCAAGTCCTTGTCTGGCTTCTCTCCACCTGAAGTCAGTGTGGCCATCTAGAATGGGTCACAGGGGTGGACAAGGCCAAATCAATACTACTGCCATCTCTCCTCCTTGAAGCCCCGTGGGAGTTCAGAGCAGCAGGCACCAGCAGCACCCAAACACCTTGCAGACTCTCAAAGAGGTGTGTCAATCTGCAAACTAGAAGTAGGCAGGAGTAGGGCTACAGTTGCTGTGGTGGGATGTCAGGGGGGTAGCCCTGACTTCCTTGGCTCATAGCTGGCAAGTGAGTAGGAGAAGGGAGGAAGAAATATTTTGTGCCATCATGTCTTCACAGTGGGAAAAAGTGCCCTCTAGTGTCATCCCAGGGCACTAGTAACTGACAGTAAAAATGGCATTTCACACACCCGCACCTTCACACAGTAATTTAGTCAGATTAACTGAGAAGCTACTATGGGCCAAAGGGTTAGAGATAGGAAGGAGGAGTAAGAGTGAGACAAGTGCCACAGAGGGACCTGACATGGTGAGAGGAAAGGAGTGTGGCGGAACATGGGCCATCATGACAAGTCCTGCCTGTGTTAGAGGATGCAGCCAAAAAACAACGTTTTGGCTTCAAAAAGAAGAAATGAATTCTACATGGCTGAAATGTGAGGTCTTGAGAGAAAAAGCAAGAGATGAAGCCAGAGAAGGAAGGACAAGGCTTCCAGTACCATGTGAGCCAGTGTGATAAACCTGTGCTGTGCCATCCCTGGCCAGAGAGGACCAGTGATACTCGTGTTTTAGAGAGTACTCTGGACACCAGGTGGGGGACACTGTGGTGGTGGTGGTGGGGGGCGGGCAGGGAGCGAAACTAGAGTTAAGAGTCCCGCTGTGTGGCAGTGGAAGTAGTTAGGCATCAGATGTTGATGGTGTGAGCTGGTGTAGGTGATGCCACAGGGATGAAGAGAAACCCAGGACCTGGTAGGTCACAGGCACAGTGCTGGCTCCCTCCTGTTGGTCTAGGAAGCCCGGTAGTCGGCCTGGCTGCTGCTACTAGCCAGCAGGGCTCTTTAGCAAGCTATTTCCTCCCTTTTGGCTACATCTGCAAAGTGAGGATGGGCCAGATAATATCTCAGGTCCCTATGGCTTCTAAGTCCTTTTGAATCAGACGCCCCCTTCCTGCCCTCCTCCGGTAGCTTCTGACTGGGCTCTCTGTCCCACTCTCCACTGCTGCCTGCTCAGCTGCTGGTATGGACCTGTGCAGCCCAAAGATCTCAAGTTTCTTTGAGGCTCTGGCTAAGCAACAGCACGTTTCCATCATGTTAGGACAGTCCTGGAAACAGGGAGCATATATGAGGCCCCAAGGGAAACCAAGGAAGGGAAAAAGGAAGGCCCCTTTACCCCCAACTCTAGTACCTTCACAAACTTCTGATACAGCAAGTTGGGCTTGGGCTGATTGTGACGGGGGTTCTCCGTAGAAAGATGCCGTATCTGTACTCCATCCTGTGGGGAAGGGTCCATGAGGGCCTTGCCGTGTTGCCCTCAGCCCCACGTGTCCCAGACCCTCATTTCATGCGCCTGTCTATAGAGCTCATACCTGATTTGTTTCCACTACTAAGCTGGCAGCAGTCTTGTTGAAGAGCTCATTCCACCAGTGGTTTGTGAACTCCTTGGCAGGGTCGTGTCCCACCTGCCAGACGAAGAGGTCTAACCATGAGGCCCTGCCCATAAGAGTCTCCTTTCCCTGACTTCCCAGACTTACCCCATGAGTGTCCTGTTTCAGTGTCACCCTGAGGGCCTGGGTGATTCCATTCTCCTTCCGGCCCAGACCTTTGCCTACAGAGGATAGGGAGTGACTTGGGTTGTTCAACTGCCTGCTCTGAGCCCTCACCAAGCACCCTCAACACAAGCCACCACTTGCCTTTCCACACACCTACCACCAGACCAACTCCACCCTCTCAGACGTCCTCCCGGGCTCATTTGTAGAATCTCTTCACGCGGTCCCCTGCCTTTGTCTGAACCCAGACGATCTTTTCCTTAACAACTTCTAGGTCATGTCTCTTCTCCCCCTCACAACACCCCCTGCCCCCAAAACTTATCTCTCACTAGTCACATCACAATTCTACTCTTCCCTATTCTGGAAAAATCAGACATTAGCTTCTTCAACAAACTTGCCTTTAAGCTAGCTTTTCCTTCTACAACTGGGTGGGATACATGGGATGATCCAGAAAGCTACGGCTTCCCAGGGAGTAGGGTGGGGAGGTGGAAGGAGCTCTGTTGGGATCACCTTGAGTCCATCCATGCTTTAGCAGCTGCTCCTCGGCAAACTTCATCCCACGACTCTTGACCTCTCGGGTGATACTCATGGTGAGACGAATCAATGTCCGTGAGCCATCACCAAAGACGGGGTCACTATCATTCAAGAGGAAAGGAGAAATGAGGAAGCCTCCAAAATCATCCAACTCCATCCTGACTGCTCTTAACAAAAATCCTTTCCTGAGCTTGGGGCAAAGACAAAACAAGGCGGACCCCTGGTCCTTGTGTTACAGGCCCCAACACCAATGAGGGGCTCCTTTGCCTTGAAGGGAAAGCATTCACCAGGGAGCTAGGTGTAGCTGAACCTGGCAAGGCTTTATCAGAAACGCAAGCATGAGGGAACCAGTGCAGGAGAGGAGAATTTAGCTTGGTTCAAGGGAGTGAAAAGGAGCTATTTAAAGGGTAAGAGGAGAGCAGAGGTGGGGCAGGGCAGAGCAGAGTCAAGGCTTGTTCTGGACTGGGCTACACCCAGGCATATGCAGATGGGGAATAAGCCAGTGGCAAGGGTGACCGCTCAGCTTTCACCCTCCAGGAAAAAATGAGATAGTCATTAGTCAGCATCTAATGCACTTTATCTGTCATGGCGCCTCTTGGTCAGTGTGGTGGCAAATCATTTGGACAGGGCACCTCAGTCCATGAACGAGTCCACCTGCTCAAACAGGCAAGGACAACTCATCCTTGCAGTTTCTTTCACATAGGCTGTCTTACTCGGGCAACTGAGGAGACCAGCACCTCAGAAAGTCAAGCAGAACTGGTATTAATTATAAAACCTCAAATTAAGGGGAGCTCAGGCACACTGGCCTGTGCTAAGGTTTACATGGGTTATTTCACTTAATCTTTCCAGCCCAGTGAGACATCCTGACTTTTATGTTCAGGAAAGTAGTATTCTCAGATTACAAGAGGGGAAACTAAAACCTAAAGAGTGAGTTTTAGGCAATTTACTCAAGGCCACTCTGCTCACATATATAGAATTCAAACTCAGGCAGCTGAAGCCCCATTTTTTTTTTTTTAAAGATTTATTCATTTGTGCATACAGAACTGGGGTACAGGCCAGAGGCTCAGGGGTGGTCAGCAATGGGTGGGTCAGGAGAGGTCTGCCACACCATGTGGTCACCGCAGGGGCAGGCGGGAATTGAACTCATGCGGAAGTGGCTTTAGCTTCTCAGTGCTGTGCTTTAACCAGCTGCGCCACCAGGGAGGTCCCTGAAGCCCCACTCTTTACCATCACATATCTCCCACAACTTGCCACCACATGAAAACAAAGCCGTAAGGTGCTTGTTAACCTGAGTTATAGAGTACTGGTACTTAACAGAGCCCACAGCCTTACCCATGTCCAGCAATTACACAGTCCTCCCGGTGCGGGGCCTCCTCTTCTTCACTGCCACTGTCTTTCCATCTTACTAGAAAACTCCGTTATATACTGTCCAGCTCCAGAAGAGCACTTTTATCAAGCATTTAGTGCATAACAGGTGGGTTAAAATATTATGATCCTCATCTTCTTTAAACCCAACAGTCTTGTCAAAAGGTATCACCCTGATTTTATAACTGAGGAAAACAAAGTGTGGGTTTTCTTTCTGGGGTTACATGCGCTCAGGTTGCCTGACTCCAAAGTAACTCTTCTTCTATCACATCATCAATTAGTTGCATTTTTTAGTCACTCAGGTGCTCTTCCTTTTGAACCACAGAATGACATCCAAATTATATACCAAATTTACCTCTGAAATGGCTAAAATGGCTTACCACAAGAGACAGAAATCTAAGACTATTACTGCCGGTTCAGGTCACTAAAGTTATAAAATCTCAATGGCACCACTGGAGAAATCCAATAGCCGCTCAAAGTGACAATTCTAAAGGGTTAAACTTCCATTTGAGTTTAAGAAGGTATAGTAAGCTTCCTTAAAAAGAAGAAAAGAAAGGGGCCCTCCCTGGTGGCGCAGCGGGTTAAAGCACAGCACTGAGAATCTAAAGCTGCCTCCACATGAGTTCGATTCCCGCCTGCCCCGGAGGTGACCACATGGCGAGGCAGACCTCTCCTGACCTGCCCGCTGCTCCCCTCAGCAGTGTACTTCGTTGATCTGCCTGTTCTGTTCCCCACTCTGTCTGTGGTGAAGCCTCTCACCACCCCTGAGCCTCTGGCCTGTACCCCAGTTCTGTATGCACAAATAAATAAATCTTTAAAAAAAAAAGAAAGAAAGAAAGAAAGAAAATCAGAAACATCATTAAGTCATCCCTCCTAAACACTATATATTATTAAGTCTAAGAATGGTGCCAATATTTGGCTCTTTAAAAAGGTGAGACAGCGCCACTTGGGACAACATGGATGGATCTTATGGTGACTAAGCTAAATGAAATAAGTCAGAAAGTGGAAGACAGATACTCAAAATTTTCACTTATTTGTGGGCTGTAATTACATAACCAACCAACACAAACTGGCAAGGCACGGCAAAAATAACTGAAACTCTGAAAAAATTGCTGGTTACCAGAGGGGATGGGGGAGAGAGAAACAAAGGCAGAGAAGTTTTGGTGGAGGGTGAGTGAAGCATGTGCACATAAGGAAGTGTGAAAATGTACCCTGGACATTATAGAGATGTAAATGACTAGTAAATTTGAAGGAAAAGGAAAGAAAAGAAACGATCCTTTCTGACCCCTAAATGAACACAATGAAACAAGTAAAATACGATGTAAAACAAAGTGACTCCTCTGCTTAGCTATGAAGAACAGTAAATCCAAGGATTGTTTTTTGTTCACATTTCTGCTGAGAGGGTCTGTTACCTGAAAACCTAATTGATAATTGAGAGTACAAACCGAAAAGCTGTCACTGAAGAAATGGCACAACCTTGCTTCTTGATATTGTAAGAGAAGCAAATTCAAACATTAAGTCCTTTAAAAGAGTCCTCAGAACTCTGCTTCTCTGATCTGTCAGGTCCCAGATTCCAGTCATCATAATAATTACTAATAACTAACACTGATGCATTTACTCAACGCTAAGCTGTTGCTAACAGCTTCACACAGATTATCTATTTAAACTTTCCAGCAACCCTATTACGAAACGTTGTCATAAGTTACAAATGAAGAAATGACAGGGAGATACCGAGTTACTTGCCCAAATCAAAGAGCTGGCAATTTAGAGGATCAGGATCTCAGGCCTTCCAAAACTACTGCTCTTAATCACTACATTCTTCAGTTTCCTATAGCTCTGTGCTTTCTGCTATAAATCTTACCACAGCCTAAGACTGGCAGTTGCAGTCGAAAAGTACACCCTGGAAGTCAGAGACGAGTACTTTACACAGTACTAGGAATCGACAACGCGGAACTGGGCAACGACCCAGGGACAACGAGGTCCCAGGCTTGTGCATCTCAGTCTGCGTGCAGGCTGCAAGCACACTTTCAAGAACTGCCTTCGTTCCAGGCAACTCGAATTTCTTGTTCAGTTCTAGAGAACAAGTGGTCCAGGGCCATTCAGGCGATTCTGGAGCCGGCTATTCTCAGCAGGTCTAAATTCCAGCACTCCTGCCTCAGTTCACGCGCGTCAAACTACTCTCCAGCTTTCACCTTTGCTCCTGAGGTTTGGCTCCTGCTGCTGCCAATATGAAGGGAAGGTCGCGCCTCACTTACCGTCAGGCTGGGTCCTCTCCGCGGATACACGTGCCAGACCCAACACGGGCGCCGCCACCTTTCCGGAAATGTCGTTTGGGCCCTTCTAGGCTGCTGAAACCATAGAGACGCAGGCCGGACTCAAGTATCGGTCCTCCCAGGACCAACCGCGGAGGGGGAGGGGAAGGCTGTGTGGTTGCTACGGAAACCCGGCCCCAGAGCGAGCCGGGCGGTCCCGGGAGGTTCTGCTTAGTTCCTTGCATATCCTGCGTGGCCAAGGAAGTTAAGTACTAACTGACCCTTTCCCAGTGAGGTGAACAGCTGTGATCGCCTTGAGAGATTCCCAGGCACAACTATGAGTGAAAGCTCTAGGGAAAAGCGTCTAGTGTAGCCTGAAAGTTCCATGAAGGCAAGGAAGGAGGTAGCACCCCCATTTTGCAGGGACAGCCTATTGGAGGCTTCAGAAATTGATCATTTTTGATTCAGCACAGTGTGCCTGCCCCGTTGGTGCGTTGTTATAAAAGTGCATACATCAAGGGTCTTGATTTGTCTAGCTGGGAAAAGCTGAGATTTAGAATAGCCCTAGAGATGGGGGTGATGACCTGTGACAAATGACTAGGTCTGTCTTCCTGCCCATTCTATCTCTTGCATTTAACAAGTTTGTCTTCTTGTAGTCTAAGGAAGAGAAAGAACACTCCTGAGAAGATAATATGGAAATCAAATACCAGGAGGCTAACAAAGCAGAGCTGCCAACATCTTGGAGCTTGCCAGTCTCCCCACATCTCCAGATGCCTGCACCAAAAGGCCAGGCCCACACGTGCCCAACTCCCCTTTTTTGACTCCTTTGTGTAAATATCCCTGCACCCTGCCCCAGAACAGGACCATGGTCTTTTAGACACAAGTCCTCTGCCATCTTCAGTTTGTTAACAAATTAGACTACTTTCCTTCTTCTCAAACTGTTTCCTTTTATTGACTGGGGGAAACTGAGGCTGGTGTTCAGTATCAATGAGAGACATGGAAATGTAAGAGCAACAGTGAGCAGCAACCTAGGAGCCCATGGTTGACAGCTCTAGAATTTACCCCCTTAACAGGGACTGATGGAAAACAGGGGTGGTGTTGGGATTTGGGTCAATTAAGCTGCTAGGGCTGGCAGGGAGAGATATCTGCGAAGGAGCCACCAACTTGCCACTGCGGTTTTAGCTTGGACCACAGTATCTACTCAGTGAACACTATCTGGGGGAGGATAAATTGGGATCCAGCCATGTGCCAGCCTATAAACACTCTCTCCTCTCCTTTTTCTCACTCCCTGTGTAAACAATTCCTGGTACTGGTGTTTCTCATCACATGTGTACCATTGGATCATGTCCTGTGTCTTTAAGCAGGCAGGTGAGGACCCACCAACTGGCTAAATCTGGTTTCTCTTGGTTGGTTCGCTTCTTTTCAGAGAGATGCAGAATCCTAGGCTGCATGCTAAATTGAGGAGTTTGGACTTGTCTTCTAGGTATGAGGATTCATTTGAAATTGTGCAAAGGGGGCCTCCCTGGTTAAGTTTCAGTGCTATTACCTCTATGGCCTGAGTTCGATCCCGGCCAGGGAGGAGACTCACATTTGGAGAAAGACCACTCCTGTCTTGTCCACTGCTCCCCTCAGCAGTGTATTTCAATGGATCTGCCTGTTCTACTCCCCACTCTGTCTCTGGGGAACCTCTTATCCCTGGATGTCTGACCTATACCCCAGTTCTT